ACCGCCCTGCAGATCCCACTCTGCTTCTTCTCTACTTCCTGTTCACTCCACCCTGCTCAGCTGTGTTGCTTCAGACTGTTGCACAACATGACTGTGTGTGTGTGTGTGTGTGTTTTTTTAGGTTCTGCAGGGTTTAACCCTTCACTCTCCGGGTCAGGTGAGGCACTCGGAGTTCTCAGAGCTGTGCTGTGATTGGCTAGCTGAGTTAAGGTGGACCACGTGATAATGATGATGTTGGTTTCTGAACATGAAGGTGTGTCCACAGACTTTTGGTCACTTTGCTAACTGACCCTCAAAGCCTGAAACACCGCTTCAACAAAACTTTGAGCTTTAATAAAACAGCAATAAAACATAAATGACAGCTTTTGTAAACAAAGTTTTACTTATTGATTCTTGGTTGTATGTAAGAAACAGTGAGACCAGCTCCCACCTGTTTTATTTTGATTGCACTTCCTGTGTTTCACTTACATTTTTACTTCATAACATAAAGCCATATTTGTTTTTGCTGAGCAGTTTAATTCTGATGTTGTGTCTGTACTCCAGATGATACTAGTTACTGGAGATCTCAGCATACGAGTATCTCATGGTGCAGACGGTTCTGCAGGGACGATAACTTAAAAAACAGCTTTAATGGTGATGTTCACCCTGCCTGGGATAAAGTTACCGGGGCCCCGACCCGGAGCCAGACCCACGAGGGTGCCCGAGTGCGAGAGTCTGGGGGTCGGGCCTTAGTCCGTTAGGGCCCGGCCGGGCACAGCCAAAAAAGGTAAAAAGAGGCCCACCGCCCACAGGAGGCATCGTAGGGGTCGGGTGCAACGTGTGTCAGGCAGCCCTGGTGGACCGAACCCCGGCTACCAAGACTAGTAACTGGGACGTGGAATGTCACCTCCCTGGTGGGAAGCAGTTAAGTGTGACTGTCGTCTGCACTTATTCGCGGGACAACGGTTCTGAGTCCCCAGCTTTCCTTGAGTCCCCGGGTGGGGCGCTGGAGGGTTCCCCACCTGGGGACCCTGTTGTCCTGCTGGGAGACGTCAGCGCTCATATGGACAACGACAGCGAGACCTGGAGGGGTGTGGTTAGGAGGAACGGCCTCCTGGATCTGAACCCGAGCGGTGTTGAGTTGTTGGTCTTCTGTGGAAACCACAGCGTGTCCATAACGAACACCGTGTCCGAACCTAAAGGTGTCCTGTAGCACCAGCGCACCCTGAGCCACAGGTCAATGAAGGTCAACGACGACTGTGTCAGCAGAGCTGCATGTTCTGGACACGGTGGAGGGAGGAGCTGACGTGTGTCTTTGTGTGTCTGTCTTCTGTCAAACGTGTGTTTGTAAAACATGTTTGGATTTAACAAAAGTTACATAAAGTTTACTTCTCAGTAAACACTCACGGTCACGCGCTGAGCCGAGGCGCGCTCCCGCCGCCGTCACTGGTTCAGATCCGGATAAGCAACCGGTGACGTCACAATCGGTCCATTGTGTTCCGATGGGGTGAAAACTTCAGGGCGCATGCGCGGTAGCACGGCCCGACCGTGGAGCGTGCAGGAAGTTTACGGAGTCCGAAGTTGGGGACTCTTCCTCCTCTTCCTCCTCCTCTCCTCGCGCTGTTTCAGGAGCGAGACTCTTCTGAGGTGCAGCTTCACCTCTTCCTCCTCTTCTTCTGTAAACAAACAGCCTGCGCTCCGTCACTGCACGCTCCTCCTCTTCCTCTCCATCCTA